TTGGTAGGATGGCATTAATGCGTTTTGCGATTGCTTTAGAGAGTATCTTGACATCAGTATTAATGAGGGAGATTGGTCTAAATGCCTGTCGCTGTTGCGTATCCCCGGAAGGTGGAAGCCGATAGCTCAACCTGGTTATCCAGGCAGCAAAGAAGAATCTCCTCCGCTAGCTTTGACAACGTGGGGGAACATGTCCCTCCCCTCCTTGATGTATGACACTACTGAGTTGTTGTCTGTTCAAAGCAGGACTCTGTGGTGGTGGTGGCTACTTCCTGAAAAAAATTTTAGACAGTAGGACGGTCTGCAACTCCAACCAATAGATGTGGCGGTCCAAATATGCATACGCCCACATCCCCTTGGACCCGAAGGCCCCTCAGATGACCGCCCCATCCGGGGGGGCGACGCTTCCGTAATGAGAGTCAGTGGATCAAGTCGTCAGATCTAGGGGTGTTCCTGTTTCCAAGTACCATGCGTTCTTCCGCCAAAGGAGGGCCATCATCGTTTGGTCTAATGATTGAATCCTGAACTGCTCTACCAGAGAGCCACATCACTCCTGCAAGGGGCGAACACGCCCTTGCTCCTCGTGGAACTGCATATCCAGAAAAACTAGGCTGTCGGTATTGGGTTAGCAATATTTTATAAAAAAAAAGCCCAACTCTGCGTCAACCGCACATGCTCCACTTAGACCTCCCTGTATCGGTTGTGTATTAACAAGTTGTGGGATATGGGATATGAGTGGTAAATGGGAATGTGGAGGTAAGCATCACTCAAATCCAGCGATGCCAACCAATCGCCCGAGTGCAATGACAGAAGTACCGAAGCCGGTGTTTCCATCTGGAAGCCCTTGAGTTCCACAAACCTGTTAAGCTGACTGAGGACTGGACGTCACTCCCCCCCCCGAACTCTTGGAAACATGGAAGGTGCGGGAATAGAACCCTGGTGATACACGGGGGGTTCCCCACTAGGCGTATCGCCTTTTTCTCCAGAAGGCTTCTACTTCCTGTCGAAGAGGAATCCGATACCCACGAGACTTTACTTCAAGCGTCCAGGGAATGGAAACCCTCCTGCGCCAAGCTGGTATGTGCTGCATAAGACATGATCCCACGGGAAGGAGCAGACAGGGGTTCGGAACTAGTGCTTTCTGAACTCCATCCTCCAGAATGGGATGACGAAGAGGGGTCTCCACGCCGGCAGTGAGAGGGGAGAGCGCCGATGTGTAATGAGTCCAAAGGCAACTCCCCTAACACTGGCCCCTCACGAAAAAAAAGTCTCGCAGTTCACAAGCTGCGACCTTAACTGCATATTAGTAAGGGACAGCTGGGCTCCGGTTGGTTGGGTATCCTGTTACTGCCCCAAAACGGCAAAGCGCTTGCCCCCCTCTTGTTGGGGAAGTGGTAGCTACACCCCAAAAGAGGGTTGCATACCACCCTGTAAACACTGGAGGCCCCTCCCCTTGCGAAGTCCTAAGTGGGCGCACGGCTTGGAAAGACGCAGGAAGCAATGCCTGGTCAGCCCGAACCTGAGGGGATGTGTGGGGAATATGGAAGAGGGCACGTAAGGCGATCCGTTCCAGGGAGAGGGCCCCCTCTATAAAAGAGGTGGACGCTCCCTTTCCACTGATGTGAATTGCCCCCCCTCCGACCCTCTAAAGGAGACCACTGGGATAATGGGACACACATGATCCTAGCTCAGGTGGTGGAGGTACAGGCAATATCTCACCCCCACCACCCCACCCATCCCCCACCCCTTCATCCTTCTGCGTCCTACCCTGAGACTGCAGAAGGGAGTAGACCTTTGAAGCCAGACTACACATCCAGACTGTCCAAGCCATCTCTTCACCCTGGGAGAGCTTTTTTTGTTTGCTTTTCTTGGATTGAACCGGTTCAGTCTCTAAAGGCCATGCCAATTATACGTCGGGACTCGGTGTCGATGTTAGCGTCCCAGAGGGAACACACCATTTATCAACGTCAGAGGCCGTGGTGACTGGCAACTCCGATCTCCCAGCAAAATCGGTAGACCGATGTTTGCTAGTCTCGGTAATATCCGGTGGGTAAGCTAACTCCACGTTGGTAGAACTTAGATCCACTGCTGGTGTTCCCGCGCTATAGACCGACATCTCTGTTATCTCAACGGTAAAACTGTCCTGACGGTCTTGTCTCAATGGTTGACCCCGCTACCTCAACAACTCTCCCACACTTTTTTTTTATGTCGACCGGAGGCGAGCCTTGTGGTGACTACCAAGCGTAGGTAAAGATTTCTCACTCATAGAATCAGACATACCAGCGTTAGTGGCAGTAAGTGATTTACCCTTCTTCTTCGCTTGCCTTAGCTTTCCACCATGCCTAAATGTAGTTCGCAATCGAACTACATTTAGGGTCCCATAAATCATGAAGCTCTGAACAGAACCCGGAGTCCTTGACACAACCCAGGCAAGCATTTGTGGCGGGACGTACTTCATCTTTTTTTGTGACTAAGGCATAATAGCATCTGCAAAAATTACGAAAGTGAGATCATGAAAAAAGACAAGTAAATTCACTGCGCCAGAAAAGGAATCCGGTGAAAAGAAACTGAGCCGGCGATTCAACTAACACAGGTAAAAAAAGTGGGACCCTAATAATTGATAGCCTTTGCCGTAATGAGGTCAATCATCAATACTAGATTCCTAGATCATCTCAGTCATAAAACTGTAACCTGCACTCTTGTCCATGCGTTGCAACGGAGCTGAAAAATATCTGTACTCGTTGGTTGCGGAAACGAAAAAGAATATCAGATCAGGCCCAATATGCGTGATCACCTCGCAGGATGACCCCTTAGGAGAGGCCTTTTTTCTGTAGGGAATGCTACCCTAAGATGTTCTTTGTGAACAGGGTATATTCCCTAGAATAGTTTCCGATCAGGGCTGCAATTTGTAATTATAATATTTGCCTATAATGAGTAATAAATGGAATTTATTATTTCCACAGACTTTCTGGTAGGTAATGTAGTAAACTTGGTTAATTAAGATGCAAATTAGATTATTAATATGCACTTATTTCAATCAAAAACCATTCAGGTCTTCGCATTATCCCAGAGCATCCATGTACCAAATTCCATTGAAATGTGATTAGTACTAGAGATATTTGTGGGAAAGCCAAAAATTTACTAGTCATATGCAAATTAGGTGATTAATATGCACAGGCTTTTATTCAGAACTAATTAGGTCGGTGCATAGTCCATGTAATGTAATGATTAGAATTTAAAATGTCAGTAGGAAAGCTAAATAATATGCACTGATATTAACCAAAAACTTATCAGGTCTGTGTATTGTCGTATGACATTTACATGTATGTACCAAGTTTCATTGTAGTATGATGATTAGTCTTTGGGATATCAACCAAAAAATTACTAACCATTATGCAAATTAGGTTATTAGTATGCATGATTTTTTTACTCAAAACTAATCAGGTATGTGTATTGTCCCAGAGCATCTATATACCAAGTTTTATCAAAAAACAATAAGTGGTCCTTTAGATATCAGACTAACAGTCCTTGAACAGCTAAAAATTAGTTAATTATAATTTTAGGTAATTAATATTTAAACCAAAACCTAATTAAATCTGCACATTAACCCAGAGCATCTATGCATCAAGTTTCATAAAAAACAGCATATTTTTCCTAAAATATTAATGGAACACACACACTTATTGCACATTCCAATTTCGTGCTTCACACAATAACATTAACTGGACATAATGCTTCACACACAATGGGAGTAAAAATTGTATCAAAATGAGACATTTTCACCATTCTATAACCGGATCATTCTATAACTTGATACATATGTTGAACATAATGGGACCTGAATGTACATCATTTTCTATTATTTTGTGATGAATTTCGTGATCAGTAGTCATCTTAAAAGTAAATTCACTAATCAGGTAGGTATATTATGTTTTCTTAAAATTTACAATACCACATGGCTTTATATGGTTAGTCATTCATTGATTATTTTTTTCATTGATAGATTTGCCTACTGTTATAAGTGAAACCACATTTGCTGGTGAAATTGGTGAACCTGCAATAATGAATTTAACTGTAGATGCCAACCCATCTTCTACCAGCTTCAGTGAATGGGTGAATGGTAATTTAACACTGAGCAGTAAAACTGACACTTCATCAAGCAGCTCAGTCTATATTGATGAGCTAACTGAAGATTATTTTGGATTCTACAGCATTACAGCATCAAATAGTGTGGGAGACGTCATAATTCAGATTGAGTTGAAAGCAGTAGGTGAGATGGGGGTTGATCATGTCGTTTTTCTAATATAATTTATGAGACAGGTGATAGTACACTTGTTGATGTATATATTAATACTTCAACTTGTCATCACAGGCAATTAATTGATTCAATACAAGTGCTAAAAACTTTCTAGAACAGGAGTATGATGACCCTTGACCTGATAGGTCAAAAATGCTATTACCCAATCAGATCGAATACCACCTAGAGTATTGACAATTGCAAAAATGCATCCAGGAAGTAAATTTTGTTATTATCCAAGTTGAAGTATGATTCATTTGCATTTATTTCACAACCTGAAGTTTTGAATGAGGCGATACGCATTTTTTAAAATGATGATTACAAATTATATCTATTTTATCTACTCTTTTATTCGTAATTTGTTTTTGCAATTACAAACGACAGAAATGTTGCTTTCTGACAACAAATTATGTACTATTTATGTCATCTACCGTTTTTGTAATCACTGATTTCAATGTAATTTTGTATCCTAAAAGTGGTTGAATTATATTTCCCAATATCGCAAATTTCATGTTGTTTTTCACTGAAATCAATGCCAAAAGAATCCCATTGGAACACATATTAATCACTTTCATTCGCCATCTGATTGGTTTACATCCCTGTGATTGTTTGTCACTAAACCAATGTGTTCATATTTGTTTTCATTTGAACTTAATTTTTCATTCATCAACAAAATTATAATATGTAGCAGGCAATGCCTGTCGAACGAGCACAGTTAAGCTGTTTATCGATTCACTAATTTAGCAATAAAAAAAAATAGGACTGGCTTAACCATAGAACGTCAAAACCTGTTAACTGCACTGTGCACAATCGGTGTGTCGCCACTGCTCGAAATACCATTCAAAGTTGAACTATTTTCAGTCTGTTGCAAGAAAATCATTCAACAACATTTCTGACAACATTTTATCATGAATGATTTGTCTCGTCTTATATAATTAGTGTAACAACAACAAAATGACACTGACAATTGATCAGAAGTATACCATTTTTCAAACATTTAAGGAACTATATATACAAATGTTATCTATAGATAGAGGAAATGCTGACATTTTTAAGAGGCTGTGAAAATTTCCAGTGTTTGTGATGCATATTTTTCAACCATTTGAAGGTCTTTCATTCTCTGACACCTACATTAGAATACTGAGGGCAGTTTCCTTGATATCTTGCAACCCTGTTATGACTATTTAGGCTATAAAGTATTGAAATAGAAATTAAAAAAAAATAGTTCAAAATCGTTGCGGACGGTGTTTTGGAACCAGTATCCAACCTAAATATATGATTGCAATTTCATCAAATCCACGGTTTAAGGTTTGATACTTTCTATTAATTTTCATCAGACACTGGTGAAAGTATTTTATAATATGTATGCCAGCCAAAATTACTGATGAACAAAAATAAATGTTACACTCTCTTAAATTAATTGTAGATTATCCAGTGGCCACAATGTTTGCACCCTTATAGTGAAATCATGCATGGTGTTAACACAAGATTATGAGATCCTCACTTTGTTATTTATCAGGTGCACTAGAGTACATTTTTTTAGTAAGATCATAATTGTAAATAATAAAAGCAAGATATTATGTATTTGTTTTTATTGATAGGCCCTCCTGAACCACCAAATGAAATCCTAATATTGGAGACTGGATATGAGCAACTTACTGTAAAAATAATACCAGGATTTCACGGAGGAGATGCAATAAACATTTTGTATTATCTGCAATATAATCTTGTCAATAATGCAACTGATAAGCTATGGCCGGAAGATGGTAAAGGGAGTGTGAATGAAATATTGACAGTGACAGGTTTAAATGATAACACTACATACAAATTCAGGGCTTATGCTTCCAGCAGCTTTGGAGATGGAGACATATCAAATACTTTCAGTTTTAAGACATACGGTGAGTGATCTACATGTAACTTGTGATTACACAAGATTATACTACGGTAGTACTAAAGAAATATATAGATATTGATTAAGTTTTTCATATAGTCATGAATGGGTTTAATTGCTAAATTTAAACTTTTCCTTATAATCCATTATTGACTTATTTAACATTCATAAAAATGCACCTGGTTTTAGATATCATCAACAACTAAAATATAGCATAACTATTACAACCTTGTCTATTGAGAATCTAGATTAAACAAATGGATGCATTGATAGAAACAATATCTTATCTTTGCATGACAAAAGTGAGTCTAAAAGTCCTGAAAAAAATGCAATAATATATTTCTCATACAGGCTAAAAAAATTCATAATTACATAAAAAAAATAATTCTATTGATGTTCCTCAAATAATACTACATGTACTATATTAATCCCAATGACCCTCATAATAAATTCAACTTGAAGTGACTAAAGATAATAGTTCAACATGCAAAATTTGAAAGAAAATACTAGCTAATGTGTTTTTTAATTAATACTACATGTATTATTTTAATCTCAAGATCCCTGACAAAATACATGTACCATAACATGAATTGTAAAAAAAAATCCTAAACAATAATAGTACAGCAACATATTCATATTCAATTGTCTCAACAACGTGCCTAAAATATTCACACCTATTTATTGTTCAGTGGTGATAAGGTATCAGACACGCAATGAAACTGCCTTTGTTCTGTCAATACTCCTTCTGAATACTTGTGTATGCATGTGTTTCGTAAGTTTTCAACAATGAGCTGTTATCTCCGTAAAAGTGTTAAATTCTTCTTCAATGCTCAGTTTATGGTTCAAAAACAAAGAACTCCTTTGATTTGAAAAAAATCATGCTGTTTTCCCATGGAAATCAAAGCCAAAAGATCGCACTACATTATCGGTAAATCTCTTTCGTGTTGCGTTCACCATGAGGTCGCTGAACTGTCATTAACATATTTAAATGAGCTACTGTATGGTAATTCAGACACGTGGGCACCATCCATCATTTTGATTGAATTATTCACTGGCAAAGAACGAACCCGACTCAAGCGAATTGGCGGCAAAAGGAAATAAAAAGTTAGTTTAATTCTGCTGAATCTAAAATTACATTTCTGGCATACAGTGAAATACAGCATTAAAAGGCAAAAACAGAACTGTGACAAAATGATAAAAAGCACTCAAAAACAAGAACGAAAGAAAAGCGTGATACTAATACAAAATGATAGAAAAGCGAGCTGGCATGACCGCGAGAAAAAATGGGTGGGTGGGTGGGTGAAAATAACCCGAACAGAAATGACTGGGCACGAACAGCGTGCAATATAAACAGTGCAAGTAAACAGAACGAAGCGAACTGGCTACAACAATCATGCGCAGTAGAGGAACTAAACAAACAAACGAAGCTATGCAAATGAAAAGTATGCAAATGAATAATTAACAATTTTGAACTACTTACAAAATACAACAATTATTCACTGGCAAAGAACGAACCCGACTCAAGCGAATTGGCGGCAAAAGGAAATAAAAAGTTAGTTTAATTCTGCTGAATCTAAAATTACATTTCTGGCATACAGTGAAATACAGCATTAAA